GTGAATGATACGTTGTTGATCGAAGAAAATGAATCAAATAATCAAGAAACTGATTTGAACGACAATAAAAAACAAGAATCTCCAATACCTTCATCTTTTGACATTGAAAAACCATTTTCCGATGAAAAGATTTCAACTAATTCAGATTCACAATTGGAATTTGAAAATTTTGAATGCAATATTCCTGCCGAACCAATGTCCGATTCAGATGAAATCAAAGATGAAAACATTCAAACTGTGATAAAGAACTTTAATGTATTATCTTCAGCACCTCTTCCCGAAAAAATCGACATACAAATATGTGATGAGCAACCCGATTTACCTGAAATGGAAGAAAATGATGTTGAGCAAACGATTACAGTAGAATCGCCATCGGATCAACAAAATGATGACCAATTACGAATATCAAATGAGGATTTCATTATGAATTGCAACCAAGAAGAGGAAAATGATTGGTGTGATGAAAATATTGACATACAAAATGAAATGAAAATCGATGATGATGTTGATGAAGTTATCAATGAAGATTTGCAATCAAATATGATTGAAAATCATATTGAAAATAACGATGTAAAATCCATTAATTTAAGTGATGTAGAAACAAACATTGTTGATAGTTCAATTGATAATCAATTTGACAGTTCGACAGTACAGCTAGAATCAATACAAACATCATTTAATGAACCAGAAAAAATAGATTCGGCTGTATTAATTTTGCCCCATTCGACTGAAACTGCCATGCATAAAATTGTTAAAAAGTCTGATCCAATATTTGATGATAAGCAAGATGGTTGGAATGAATCCCCTGAGCATAAAATTGTTAAAAAGTCTGATCCAATATTTGATGATGAGCAAGATGGTTGGACTGAATCCCCTCAGCATAAAATCGTTAAAAAGTGTGATCCAATATTTGAAGATGAACAAGATGGTTGGGATGATTGGGAAGAAGAAATCGAGAAACCTCAATTCGATCATAATAAATCCTTAAAATCAGAAGAAAAAATGAAAACTTCCAGCATAGAATTCGAATCTGTTTCAAACGTAGAACAAGAAAACTCAGAAAATCTTGAAGTTATCGAAAAATCCAAGTTAAATTCTATCGTAAAGAATAAAGAATCCATAACAACAAAAGCTAAATCAGAAAAATCTCAACCTAAATTCAAAGAAATAACAGATAATAATGATGATTGGAATGATTGGACAGAAAAAGATTCTAAGATTGTTGAAACAAAACCATTGTTGAAAACAGATTCAAAAATCAATCGTTTATTGTCGAAAAACAAACCAAAATTCAATATTGTTGATCGTTTTGATTCTGATTCTAAAGAGCAACAAAACAAAGCGAAACCTAAATTTGCCAAAATTGTTGATGATGATAATGATTGGAATGAACAAGATTGGACCGAATCATTATCCAATACGAAAAAAACATCAATAACAACAAAATCTGTAACTAATAAATCTTCTCAACATTCATCAATGGCAACAGCTATGATGGCACCTGCATCAATTTCCTCCAAACAATATCAACAATTATATAATCAAGTGCAATCATCAAATTCTCATTATTCGAATAATTCTTCTCAACAATCGCTTCCATCAACATCATCGGGTGGTGATTTTAGATCAGCTCTTAAAACAGCTGCTGTTTCAACAATGTCACATGCTGTTAGAAATTGGTCATTTAATCCGGTTTCTATTTTTGATTCTGTTGGTAAGTAATATAATCTTTTGTGATTCATTTGGATTCTTCAGTTTTTTTAATCCCTACTTTTTATCTTTGTTTCAGTGGATAATCTAAGTAATGTGGTTGGAGTGCCATCGGCTGAAGAAATGGCCACCATGATGAGAAAACAAAACCAACAGCAGCCTAAAAAGAACTGATTTTTATTAATGATTCCGTCCTGAATATCGATGAAAATTTTGTTTTTTTATTCTTGTTAATTTAATTTTTAATGTTATCAGATTTTTGTTTTAATTATTTATTTGCAATTTTTTTCTTTTTCAATTTTGTTGATAACATCTATTTGTCGATTTGTGTCTTTTTTATCGGTCAATAGATGGCATTTGTTGTATTGAAAAAAAATAATAAAAAAAAATTCAAATTTTTTACAAATGAACAAATTTACCTGCAAGTTACCTGGATTATTAAATGTAAGCGTTTTTCTTTCGTTTTTCGATTCAAAAATAAATAAAATGGCGCCGAAAATAAATGCATGGCCAAAAATTTTTTTTCGGACATCCCAATCGAACGAAGTTGAAACGTTTTTTCAAACATTTTTTCCATTCTTATGCACAAAAAATGTTCAAAAAAAAAGTGTATCAACCAAAAAGGTATGTGTCAATGTTAAAGGTAGAAGCTCAAACAAGAAATATACATGTCTTTATAAATGATGATGATGAAGTGTGTGTGCACCAACAACAAACGTATCATCATCGTAAGATGAAAGAGGAAAAAAAAAATTTTCAAACAACACTGAAAATAATGGCAAGATAAGGCGGACGCTTCTTTCTTTCTTCTTTTTTGGTGGTAATCATTATTATTATGATTCAAGATTATTTTATAATAACACACAAGAAGTATTGAAGAAGAAAAAAAACGAAAGATCGTATGATTCGTATCGTACGATCTTTCGTAAAACAAAGTTTATAAATATGACTGCATCATAGTTAGTTTGTAGGCATTTCGATTCAAATTGTCCATTCATAGATTTTTCTCTCTCATATCATCATTGAATTTTTCTAACTCTTTTTCTGTTTGGTCATTTTATCCTATTTTAATGTAAGTAATTTTGATTATAATTTTGTTCCGTTAAAATTTTGTAATTTTTTTCCGAATGTTATAAATTATTTATTTTCCTAATAGGAATAAATCGGCCATTACAAAACGAATCGGTATATTGTTGGTTAGTTTTTTGCTATTTATGGCATCATTTGCCATTAATGGCAGTGAATCAAGAAGTTTCACTATATTAGGATGTCTTGGTGATTATGATTTAAGTAAATTTGCTCAATTAGATCGTATTTGTGATGAATGTTATATACTTTATCGTGAACCTGAATTAAATTTCAGTTGTCGGTATGTTTTCATAATTATTTTTTCTCTATTACAAAACTATTTCCGTTTTTTTTCTTATTATTAACTATCATAATACTTAATCATCTTTGTTAAGTAATCATCATTATTTTACAAATAACCATTCTCTTTTTATTACCATACATTTTTTTATTATGACTTGTGATTGCATCAGACACACATGCATGCATAGATAATGAATTCCTTTAGGCACATGGCCCTTTCAATATTTTTTCAAAAAATCATAAAACATTCATTGAAGGCTATTGATAAATGTGTGTAAGGTAGCTATATTTATTGACAGGTACATATGTCTCTCTGATCCGACGAAAAAGCCGGCCGGTCACTTCTTTCTATAAGCTTCTTTCTTTTTTTTTTGTGAATGCCCACGATACGTCATCATGGGCATTCACATTTCGCCTTAAGATATTTTTTTTATACACACATTCCCACCTTTTTGCATGAATCATCCAAGCAAACATTCAGATTTCGAGATTATCTTATCATATTTTTTTTTTGTTTGATTTAATTATTATAGAAAAGATTGTTTCCGAAACGAAGTGTTTGGTAATTGTGTTGATGCATTATATTTATCGCATGAAAAAAAGAAACTTCTTCAATTTGTCGATCAAATATTTGGCTAATCGAAAATCAACCAAAACTGACCAACCAACCAACAAAAACCACCAATAATCCATATCTATCTTATAATCCATTTCTATTTTATTATCGGTTTATCCTATGCTCCTGGTGTTTTACCTCAATGTTTTGTTATTTAAACAAAAAACTTCCCGTTGTCAGTATTTTATAAATTCCATTTACAGAATTTGTCCTTTTTTTAACCAAGTTACGAAAATTTTTTTATTATAAAAACAAAATTCCCAAATTAATTTCTATACAACCAGCATCCAATTATCTTGCAAAATTTAAAATCAATCAATAAAAAAAAAATCTCCCAAACATTTCCTTGTGAAATTGACAAGTTTTTCTTTCTTTTTTTATCAATCAAGTCATTACGATTATATTACGATTTGGGTATGGGCCTGATCGAGGTCACGTCGAAACATTCGCACACACACATAGCTTTCGCAAAAGAAAAATTTAGTGCCTGTTTATATCGTTGACGTGTTAATCATCACGTTTGCCCATCCAATCAATTTACGATTTTTTTTCATTTTGCTAATCAAAAAAGAATTTATTTGAATTGCTATCGATGATATTTCATCGGAAAATAGATGGCAGTATGGGTTCTAAATTTCGCCGCCATTTGCTGTTTGAAATTTCAAATTTTTTTTTTGGTAATTTTACCGCCATCTGTTGCATTATTGTAATCTGATTTTTTAAAAAAATTTAAACTTTTGAGACAAGAAAAATGATTTTTTATAAATATAAATAAAAATTGGTCTTTTTTTTGTGTAAATGTGTTTAACGTCGATTCATAAAGTTTTCATCAATTTAGTTACAATAATTTCACAATGTAAAATGGGTAATATCATTGTTTTTCTATTGATGTTTTAAAATCTTGGTAATTTAAATTGGGATGATAGAAGAAGAATTTGAATCCTTTGATGAGGGAAAACAAATTAAGATTTTGTTTCTTTCTTTAAAAATTAAACTCTGGAATAAATGAAATTGAGAAAGGAGAAAAAAAGAATGGAAGGAAAAATAATAACAACAAAAAAATACTGTCAACAGAATAATTGGTATTTAAGATGATAAAACCGAAATAAAAATGATAATCTGAAGAATGTTCATGGGTAAGGTATATGTCTGTTGTTCCCTTCGTTATTGTTGTTCATCATCGACAAATAGAAACATTAAGATACCATACATTCATTCAAATCGGAGAAATGGAATGAAAGAAATGTTTATGATGAAAAATAGATGAATATCACAGATAAAATTAGATAAATAATAAAAAATGAATCGGAATAATTTTTCGGTGTTGTTGATGAGCATTTTAAATGATCACGATCATAAACAGTTACATTTTTTAAACGATCAAGATTTTCTGAATCAAGTATTTTGCAATTCTATTTGATTTTATAAAAAAATAAAAAAATAAAATTATAATCAAATAATAATCATTTTTTTCAATGAAATACATACCGAACATAATTCTGTACATTTTGGACAAATAATTGAACCTTTATGTAGCCAATTATTATAGAAAAGTTGAATTTTTATCTCTTGATTATCATACAAACAAATATATGTATGATTTGCAATTAGAATGCTAATAAAACCATCTTCCGTACAACGATATTGATAACAACCAGAACCCCAATGTTGCCATTGTCGTATCTATAGGAAAAACAGAATAATCAAATCACTTAAATCAGAAAAATATTTCAATTAATTAATCAATCTGATATACCTCTTGACATGTTCGTTCAACCCACATTTCATCACCATGATTCATACATTTAGAATCAATGCCATAATGTTCAAGAGCAAAATTTTTCTCAATAGATGGATTATTTTCTGGATACGAACATTTTGATCCACGTACAGTTTCATTATTCTGTTTCCAAGTAAATTCCTGTATATAAGGACAATAATCGGCCAAAATAACTGAACCACCAAAATAGCTAACAGAATCATGGCTAATATTTTTTATATCATCAAAATTCTGAAATTTTCTATCCAATTTTTCATCATATTGTCGTAGATTACATAAAGCAACCGAATCTCTATTATCTGTACATTCAGTTTGTAATGGATCTTTTTTTACACGATCACAAAATGGATGAATTGATTTGCCTTGACGACGTTTAGTATCTATCCATTCTTTACATGATTTCATTGCAAAATCACAGCCAAGATTTCTACCCCATTCTAATGGCTGTGCCAGACTATAATTGACCTTATACCAACTGAATTTTTTAAAAAAAAGACAAAATCAATAATGTTAACGTTTTTTTCCTAGAAAAAAAAAATAAAACAAACCCAGTATCTTCCATTAAAGCTAATGTTATTCTTGAATATACAGGATTCTGTGTATGAGTACCGGTCATGGCTTCATTTTCAAATAATCGTTTTTCCCAATGAGTCAATAATGTTCCATCTTCACCTTGGTTTTCTAATTCAGCTCCTTCTAATTTTGAACAATTAAAATGATTACGTACTTCTCGCTGGAAAAAAATAAAATAATAAAATATGATTTATAAATAATTAAATTATAATAAAATCATTAACGAAAAAAAAAATATTACCAAGACATTTGGAGTTGAAATAACAAAAACATTATTCGTTATATTTCCACCTCGTACCATCCAATTTTTACGTGGAACTCGTTGTAGAATTTTCTTGGAAATCATCAACATTGATCCTCCACCACTACCACCACCACCATTCAACAAACCTCGATTATTATTTAATGAATGTTTGTTTTGTTGATTTTTCAAAGCATCAATAGTCGGATTAGAACCATTAGGATCAAGATAAAAGGCATATAATGAAACAGAAAATCCAAGTGCATGTAAAATTTCATGTTTGAATGTTGAAATTAATGTTTCTAAATCTTGTGGTTTAGTTGATATTGAATCTGGACATATGTTTGCATGTCCAGCTATTGGTCTATAAAATTTGAATAAATATATTATTATCATTATAAAGTTTTATACATTCTACACTAACCGATTTAAATGAGTTTCTTGTTGACAATGTGCAGCATAGGCAATTGTACTACCTTTTCCACATCGTGTTGATTGTAATGTTGAAATATAGAAAACAAAATCAGCATCATTTATACCATTGATTAACGAATGATTTGTGCTAGATGTTTTTTGCCGTAAACAATCTCGACCATGTTCATCACATACGACACAATCCTGATCATTAATAATAATAATAATTTATCATTAAATGATTGACAGAAATAATTAATGCAAAACAAAAAAGAATTTACTTCAAGATGTTCATCAGGTATAACAACTTCACCACAAAATGTATGCTGTTCACATCCTTCAATACAATAATCTTGATTGACTAAAAATTCTGGATTATCTCGTATGCATCGTCTATTTAAAATGAAACAAAAATGATGATCATAAATCAATCGACAAAAAAAGAAAAGAAAAGAATATGTACTGACCGATTTAATTTGATAGGCACATTGAATGGTTTGACAAATAATGCTTGTTGCCAATAGTTTATGGCTTCAGGTAAAACAACTTTCTATTTTTGTTTTGAAGAAAAATGATTAATTATCATTGATCACCATTTAAAAATAAAACAATACAACCAAAAATACATACATCAATGATTAAATATTTTTCTTTTGTAATTTTTTCAACACTTTCATCATAAAAATATTTAATTCGTAAATTTTGATATCGTTGTTGTTGTTTTGGTTCATTTCGTTTATTTATAATATGATGATCATCATTATCATTTTGTTCATTATTATCCACATCAATATGAGCAAATCTTATCTGATTAAGTTTAGGTGGTATATGTCCACAAGGCAATTCTTTTCTTGAATCTAAATATTCTTCATCAACAGTATGATGATGATGATGATCATGGTAATGAATGTGAGACCAACATAATGATGAACAACAACAACAAATTATCAAACAAAATGATAATAATAAAATTACAAATTTTCGATGATAATTATATGATGATTGTTTGGTGATCGGTAATGTTGCCAATATAAATGTTGGCCATAATAATAATGACCTATTAACATTGTTATATGACATGATTTCGATGATGAAACTTTTGAATAAATTAATTATATCACCAGAAAATGAATGAATGAATGAATGATAATGATGTAAAATGTTGGAGGTATATCAATATAGTTACCGCGTTGATCAATTTTTTCCTAACATCATTATCAATTTTTTTCGTTGTTGTTGTTGTTAAAATAGTGAAGAATAAAATTGAAATATCAAACGTGTTTAACGATGAATGATTTCTTTCATTTTTTACTTGAAAACTAACCAAAAAACGAAACAATATATATTGTAATTTGAGAATATAAATCACTCCCCTCTTAATAGAGAATAGATTTAAAAAACAATAATAATTGATTTATGATAAGATTGACTGATGATGATGGTTGTTGTTGTTGTCGATGAAACGAAATTTGATCTTATATTCAACATAAAATGATCGTTGATGTTTGATTTTTCTGACATCAATATATTAGCCGAGATGATGATGATGAGTGATACCCTGTGTATGATTTGAAAAAATAATAATGGATAATGTTGATGAGTTTATTCATGACAACAAAAAAAATTCACTCGGATTTTCCTGATAAATATTCTGTTTTCTTTTTTAAATTAAATAAAATGATTCTTTCTCCATAATTTGATGATAAAATTTCTTGATTTTTGAGCACTTCAAGTATTCATTTGAATTCTTTCTTCGAAAAAAAAATGAGAACAAAAAGTTTGATTCGAATCGATTCTGTTGCTAAACCAAATGATGATGATGATGATGGCGAAAGAAATGCAATGACAACAACAACATTCGATGACAAAATATGATTCTTTATAAAAGGATTTTGCTGTTGATCATCATCATCATTGTAATAATTAAGAATTGGGTAATTATACAAAAGAAAATTAAGAAATCCAAAATAAAAACGGTCGCAAGAAGCAAAAAAACAAAAACAAAGCAAATGGATTTGGAAATAATTAAAGAGAATCAAAGCAAAAAAAAAAGTTTACTTTTTATTTTTGGTTGTGATTTTTTTTTTAAAAAATTGTCATCATCGTTAAAGAGTCGACGCCATAAAGAAAAAAGAAAGAAGAATGATTCTTGTGAAAAAAAAGGATGATGATGATCAATTGTGAAAGAAAGAAAGAAGAAAGAGAAAGAAAATCCAAACTATTGCATATATCTGGTTATCATTCTAAAGACGACAACGACGACAAACAAACGAAGACGACTTAAGATCCAACCAAATCATCATAATAATAATAATAATCAAAATCGCCTTTGTCGCCCATCAATCCACACACAAACACAGAGAGATACTTAATACACATACATTGATTGTAGTCAGTGTACAATCACTATTATGGATTTCGATTCAAAAAAAATGATTCGCATTGAAAAGAAATCAATGTGATTAAAGAAAAAGAAATGAATGAATGAATGAATGAATGAATGAATGAATGAAGCAAAAACAAGCAACATCAACGTCACACAATAATAATAATAATATTTGCAAACAAGTGTGATCGATGATAATGATGATGATGATGATGAGATACACTGGAATAGTGTTGCATATTGCTGCATATATAGAAAAAAAGAAAAGATTTTTGTGAAAGAAATCGCATCACTTACCCAAAACTTGAGAATCGAATTCGAATCGAATCGAATCGAATCGAAGAAGAAAAACTTTCATTGGAAATTTAAAAGTTGAATAACAACTTTGAGTTTGGTGATTTTTTTTTTGAATAATCAATGTGCACTTATAGAAGTTTTTGTTTTGTTTGCGAAATGAAAATAAATAAATAAAATAAGCTTCGGATGTTCAGATGAAAATTGTCGTTCAATAATGATGAAAAAAATAATTGCAAAGCCAGTTTTTTTCTTTATCCTTTTGTTCGGATTGTCAATCTATTCGGGTGAATTTGAAAGCAGAAAAAAATTCTTGTTCGGCCATCAATTTTTTTTTTGGTTTAAAATCTTCATGAGTCCAACTTAGAGTGGACGATTATGACGATTAAATAAAAGGGTTATTGGTGGTATTTTTCAAAGAATTTACAATCATCACTGATGGTTGATTGATTGATTGGAGCAGTTAACAAAAAATTTGTTCAAATTAGTTGGTTGGTTGATTTGGACAGCCCAAAATGTGTTTGTATAATTCAATTTCATTTGCTAAATAATAATAATCGAAATCGAGAAAAAAAAGAGGAAACAAATTGTCAATCAAACAAAAAAAATGACAAATCGATACTCTGTGTTTTTGTTTCACATTTCATGTTATTATCATGTTTTATCAGACTAGATTATACCAGATATCTCTTGTTCATCATCATCATCATGTCTGATGTTTACTTTTTGTTTAAATTTGTCGATCATACTTATTGTTCGATGATTATGAAATGATGATGATGATTTAGTTATTTCATTTTGTTTGACAAATATTTGATAACAACAACAAAAAAAATTCCTTGATTCGACAAGGCACGTTATTCAATTTTTAATTTGTCGAACGGAAAAGTACCAAAAAATTATTCTTTATTTTTTAAAAAACAATATTGGGTGAAACCTAAAAATGACAACCAAACAAAACAAAACAAAACAAAACAATTTCGTTTTTTTTTTGTTAAAAACATTTAGAGTTGATCAACGAAATTCTCATGTTTCATCAAACAAACAATCGAATCCAAAAACAAGAATCTATTATTTTTTTTTTATTAATGGGATTTAACTATCGAATCCTAATATCGATACTATCGATACTATTTTATTTTTTTTGTAATGATGCATCGAAGCATGACTTTTTGAAAATGACATTTTTTCATTTTTCATTCACATTTACAATCAAAATTCATAATCCATTATTATCATAGTTAAGTGATCATCATTAAGCTCTTTGTCATTTTGTCAACCATGAATAATGATAATAACATTGATCAACAGAAATTAATTGATGAATTTATGCTTGTTACCGAAGGTAATTTAGAAACGGCCCGAAAATATCTGATAAAACATTCATGGAAAGTTGTCGATGCTATTAATGATTATTTTGAATGGATGCATGATGATTATTGTCGTCAAGAAAAAGAAAAACAACAACAGGATGGTAAAAATGTCGAAGATAATGATAATGACGATCATGATGACGATGATGATAATAATGATCCTGTAAACAAGTATGGCAAACAGAATTTTAATTTCCATTTTTATTTTTTATCGTGACTTTTTTTTATCGTTATATTCCATAGAAAAGCTAAAATTCAACATGATAAGAATGATAATCAACTTCGTTTATTTCGTCATATAACATATAATATTGATAGTTTGAATGAAAAAAATCTTTCGATTCGAATCAAAGCTATTTGTAAGATAATTTTGGATGAAAAAGCTACCATCGTATTTTTACAAGAAGTTCGTAATGAATCTGAACAGATTATTCGACAAAATTTATCCGAAAATTTTGAAATATTTTCCGGTTTTGTATCCAATTCAACTGATTATTATACAATGACTTTAGTGGCTCGAAGACAATGGATCACAATTGATAATGGGAGAGAAATTATCAATTTTAAAGATACTCGAATGGGTAGAAATATTATTCGTACTGATGTAAGAATGTTTTTGTTCAAACAATAGCAATCTGTAATTTGATTTGTTTTTCTGTTTTTGAATTTTGTTTAGATTACAATCGAAAATGCTAAATTATGTTTGTTGAATACACATCTTGAAAGTACTAAAGAATTTGCAGCCATACGTCAACAACAACTAGCATATCTTTTACGTTTAATAGAATCGATTGATCGACAATCAACAATCATTGCAGCCGGTGATTTTAATCTACGTGATAAAGAGGTTTGTTTTGTTGTGGAAATGATTGTTTTTTTTTCTCAACTAACAATGAAATTTTAAGCTTGCTGAAATTGGTGATTTACCATCAAATGTTCAAGATGCATGGATTGCAACTGGACGTCGTCGTGAAGTTGAATATACATGGGATATGATGCGTAATGATAATCTTGAATTTAATGGTGGTGAAGAATTAGGACGACAATCTTCATCTTCAAGTGGTGGTCGACAACGACAACCATTCAAACCACGTATGCGTTTTGATCGTGTATTTGTACGTTGTTCAGAACCATCAAAACAAATCGATCTCGTTCATTTTGGTTTAATTGGTTTACAACGTTTAAAACCACATGTTTGTTTTCCAAGTGATCATTGGGGTATTATAACATCATATCAAATTTATCAAAACTCTTCATCATTATCATCATCATAATACCCCTTTTCAATGTTTTCTTTTTTTAATTTATTGTTTTTATCATCATCATTAATATGAATAAAATTTGTTGAATCATTTCATTTAGAAAATTCGTTCATTCAATTGAATTCAGCCAAAAAATCTATCATTCACGCGAACATACGTCGTTAATGATTAGACATGATTATATCGTGAATATTGTGAGTCACGTGCTTTTCATCAACAACATCATTTCTCGCGAGATCGATGATAATAATAATATTCAGCATGAGCTCATATTACAAGTGTTTTTGTTGTCTATAGGTTTTTCATTCATTTATAAATTAGGATAATTCAATTCTTTGTCCGGGTGACAATGTCGACTATAAATAAAACAAAATTATCAGATGTAAAGATAACACCTGTCCAACAGATGATTTCATCATGTACCGGTTCATTTCTGACATCAATTTTAGGTTTGTTTTCGATTTCTTTTCTTCTGTTTTTGGATTTCTAATCGTTTTTTTCCCCAATATAAAATCTCTCCATATAGTTACACCATTGGATGTAGTAAAAATACGTTTACAAGCACAGCAAAAAGAATTTATGAAAAATAAATGTTTTGTTTATTGTAATGGTTTGATGGATCATGTTTGTTATTGTTTAACAAATGGTGGTAACAACAACATCAACAACAACAACAATAATTCAAAATTTAACGGTAAACAAATTAATTTTTGCCAAATTAATGGACAACAATCAAACAAACAGACAATAAACTTTAATTATTTTCATTCATTCAATAATAATAATAATAATACAAAACAAACAAAAACCAATGCAAAATGTTTATATCATAGTTTATCAACTGTTAAACATTTGACAGATAAACAAATTCATGATCTTTGGTATCGACGACCAAATTATTTTAATGGAACAATGGTTTGTTTATATTCGAATGTTTTTTTAAACCAACAAAAAAAACTAATTTTTTGATCATTTTTTTATGCAGGATGGATTGATCAAAATTGCCCGTCATGAAGGTATCACATCATTATGGAGTGGATTGCCACCAACTTTGTATGTTTGAATGTTTGCGTTTTTAATAAAAAAATCAATAATTTTCAACGATAAAATTTTGTTTTTCCAATCACAGAATAATGGCCGTTCCAGCAACTGTAATGTATTTTACCATTTATGATCAACTACGTGATAGACTTCGAAAAAAATTTCAACAACAAACACAAATTGATAGTTTGGGAAATTTACTAATTCCAGCAATGGCCGGTGGTTCAGCACGTATGGTTGCTGCAACAGTAATTTCACCATTAGAAATGATACGAACAAAAATGCAATCACAAAAATTAAGTTATCATGAAATTCATTTAGCCATACGAAAATTAATACGTTCGGAAGGTATATTTCGTTTATGGAATGGTTTGAATGCAACATTACTTCGTGATGTACCATTTTCAATAATTTATTGGTTAAATTATGAAAATATTAAACATTTTCTATTAATCAATGTCAATAATCGAATTGATGTGGATGATTTTGATTTTGGTATAAGTTTTTTTTCCGGTGCAATTTCTGGTTCAATTGCTGCAACAATCACCTTACCATTCGATGTTGTTAAAACACATAGACAAATTGAATTAGGTAATCAATTAATTAATGATAATAATAATTCATCATCGAAAAAAACTAAAGATATATTGAAGAAAATCTATCAAGAACATGGTTATCGTGGCCTGTTTACCGGTATTGTACCAAGATTAATAAGAGTTGCACCTGCATGTGCCATCATGATTAGTTCATATGAAGCGGGTAAGAATTTTTTTCGACATTATAATTATTCAAAAATGATTGAACAACAACAGCAACAACTTGAATCAACAACAAAGATAACAAATCAATTTTAATTACATCAATTCTATCAAAGTCATCGATAATCGATGATCGATGATCGATGACCTAGTCAAATAACAAATTTTCCATTTTGTATCTATAAATTTTCTATGTAAAAAACAAAAAATCCTATAGAAATGCCTTTTCTTTGAAACAAAATTGTTTGTGATAATTAAAACAAAAGAATTAAGATGATTTTGATTCTTCTGGTTCCATTTCTTCAACTGGTCTACCGTTAACTTCCAATACATAAATCATACCTTTACGTTTATCACCACTACTTATGGTTTTAATACAACCATTATATTCATCAGTTAGATCGAATGTTATTTCTGTACCTTCGGAATCACCAAATTCATTTGTTGTTTCTTTTTTCTGTCCATTTACCCATACATCCAATGTATCTTTTTCTACCAAAAAAAATGAATATTTGGTTAATATTTACTAAATTCATATCATCATCATCCTCATACCTAATACAACACGAAATTGTTTCTTTTCTTTTGTATCATCATCATTACCATCATTTTCGTCATTTTTCAAATCAAAATGCCATGCACGCATAATTTTTGATTGTTTTTCACGAAATGTTTTAAATTGTTTACCATTTACATACAGGATATATTCATAGGTAAAACCAAGACAAGCATTTATAATTATTTCACATTTTGCAACAATTTCATTATTATTATCCGGATTTTTTATTTCGAACGGTTCACTACCAACCAATTTAAACATCCATTCTTTACGTGAAACGATCTATGAAAATAGAAAATTTTTTCCATAATTAATGATAATCAGACAACGGAAAAAAGAAAGAAAAAGAAAAGATTCAGATTTACCTCACCATCGATCCACAAAACACGACGACCAGTTGTTGTCCCGTGTTCGAATTGAATTTTATGTATTTTATCATATAATGGAACTTCCCATGTTCCAACTAAATCATTCATATTCATTGTTTCTTTTTTTCCTCCCACACTCTGGATGATCAAATCCGAAATTATGTACAAAAAATTCGCAAAAATTACGAACAAAAAACTTTCACTCAAAAGTTGTCTTTCGTTTCATTACATAACATGATTGGAAGTTGAAAAAAAACAGAAACAAAAACAAAAAACAAACATACCGTATACGGTAGTCGGTTACCATTGGTTACCCGTTTCATGAAGAAAAATACTTGATTTATTTTCACAATAATCATCATTATAATCGAATATTTACAGAGGAAAAAAAAAATTATTATTGAAAATTTACACGAATATAATTACGATCTGGATCATCATCGTTATCGTTATCGAAATCGGATTCTACCGATTCCTCATATTCATCAGCATCATCATCACGAGTTCTGTAATCATAAAATCGAATCATTTGTTCATGTAATGAATGTTTTTCTTTCCTTGTTGCTTTTTCCAAATGTTCCAATGATTCCAGATAGGATAATGTTCTTACTGAACGTTGCGGTTCTATGACTGTTGTTTTAGCCGGTTGATTAAAACGTTTGTTCGAATGATTTTGATCCAAAATACGTGCACGATTCTCACTATATGCATCTTTGTATTGGGATATTTTTGGCTAATTTTTGTTTTGGTTAAAAAACTATGAAAAAAAGATAGCCTGATCAAGATCTATTTACCTGTTCAATCATTTTGATTTCATTATCATCATTAATCTCTTCTTTTATCTCTTCCTTTATGGATAATTCTTCTAATAATTGTTCCGTTTTAACAATATTTTTACTAATGTTTTGTTCACGGATTAAAATTTCTTCGTGAATTTCATTTAAAAATTTTTTAGCTTTTTCTCCTTTATCTTTAAGATTTTCTAAAAGTTTTCTGTTTAATTTTACATCATCAATGAAAACATGAAAAGAAAACAAAACAAAAAATGTAAAACAAACCTATTTCGTACAATCCGTTCTTGTTTGATAAGTAAATTTTTCAATTCCGGCAATGATAATTGTTTTAAATCTGGTCGAAATTGTTCTTTTATCGTTGATGGTTCATTTTGTTTGTTGTTGTTATTCGATGTTATTTCAAATCGTGATTTTTGAAATGCTGGTCTTTTTACCAATATCTGTTTGTCGCAATCCCGTTGATTATCATTATCATTGTCTTCTTCTTTGATATTTTCAAGATTAAATTGTCTCCGAGGATTTGAAGGCGCCATTTCTTATTTAGACGATGGGCTCGATTTTTATCGGTTTCAACAAAATAAAAATAAAAATATCACGTGAAAGAATCACGTGATGAAAATAATCGACTATTTTAACTCAAAAAAAAGAGATATAAAAATTTATTCGCAAAAAAAATTCATTTTTTTCAATGAAAATCAATAAATCATTTTTTTCCTTCAACCATAATAATATGATAACCAAATTTTGTTTTAATCGGTGGATCAGTATAAACGGGTTTATCTAGACTTGAAATTGGTAATTGAAAAGCAGCATCCTGAAATGGACCAACCATTGAACCACGAATCATCCAACCTAAATCACCACCTTGCCGGGCTTTATCTTCGGAATATTGTGCCGCAACTTCATTGAATTTCATTCCGGATTTTATCTTATCCAATGCTTCTAATGCTTTGGATTGTTTTTCACATAAAATATGTCGAACCTTTTGACAAAAAAAAAATCAAAGAATATTTTTTTAAAAAAGTTTCAAGCGAAAACACACATACTTTTACTGATGTACCACCTTTTTTCTCTTTTGTTTCACCACCACCACCGGATTTACCTGTGGATTTATCATTATTTCCACCTTTACCTTTACCTTTGGGTGGCATTTTTTTTTTAAATCAAAAATTTCTTTTTCAAAGTTTTTTTTTTCAAGAAAATTTGGATCAACATTCGACATATGTCATCAAAACAAAACAAAAAGCGCCATCTCGTATCACGGTTACACACGAACAAAACTACCCGCCTTTTGTTGTGACGCAATATTTCGATTTTGTCTTTATTTTTCCAAACTTTTTTTTTCGATTTGACAGTTTGTCAAACTTGAATGCGAAATGTATCGAAAAAAGCTTAAATCAAATTTGAATCCTCAAACACCAACAACGTCGAAAACATTTCGTCCGGTGATCCACTCGAATTCGTTCAATAATCCTGTTCAATCAACATCAACAACAACAAAACAAGATTTCGATTTTTCGCTCAATGATTCAACATTTTCGATACGATCAAGAATAACGAATCTAAATTCCACAACGCTAACAACAACAACAACACCAGCTACAACAAATGAAAAAAGAAAATCATTATTTTCTGATTTTGATTTAAGCGATATAAAATTGGATGATTCATTTAAATCATTTAGTAAATTATCATCAATGATGATGATGGTTGAAAAGTCACCGAATTTGGAGAGGAAATCTCCTCCTAAGCGAAAATTCGATGAATCATCAATCAATTTGGATGATATTGATTTTGATGATGATCTTTTATCATCATCAACATCGCAATTATTGGACGATAAAAAACCTTTGAAAACCGATGATAGTGACCAAAACAACAACACCAGCAACAACAACAACAATGATTCGAATGAAAATTATTTTACGGATGCCGATACCGATGCAATGATTAAATTGGTTAAAAATAATCTTTTAAAATCACCCGATAAAAATAAAAAAAATGATGGTAAAACGATCGAATCATCAAAATCAATGGATAATTTTGATCATCTTTTAAATGATGATGATGATTTTGATTTGGATGATTTGGATGATATTGATGATGATGATATTGATGAAATTTTTATCCAAATTCAAAATGATCAACAAACAAACAAACAACAAAATTCTTCGTCTTCGTCTTTGTCCATTTCTTCGAAGAACCAGAATGATGAAAATTTCGAATTCGAATTCAAAACAGCAAACGGTCGACAATGTACGAAACCATCCGAAATACATTATAAACGTACACGATCATTATTTCTTGATATTGAAGAATTATTGTTGAAAGAAATATGTGGTTATCGAAAAATTCAACAACAACAACAACAACAAGAAAAACTATAATATCCTATGTACAGATTTTGTTTTTTATTTTTTCGTTTTTTGTTTCGTTTTGTTTTGTTTTGTTAATTACTATGAATACTTTACTGAAAAAAAATCCTGGTTCAAAGTGGTTAAAATCATCATCATCATCATCATTCGAATCCCACCATATATGATCCGCAAAATGTAAATATGACATTTATTTACCCGAAATGGCGAAAAACGATTGAAGATCAATGTCGAGATCTATTTATGTGAATAAACACCAACAACAACAACAACAGTTATTATCTAATAAAAAGAAAAGAATTAAAAATAAAGTAAAAAAAACAACATTATAATTAGTTTCTATGGATACTAACTAACAAGGTTTTTTCTTTCTTTCTTTCTTTTTTTCACCAAAAATAATAAAAATAAACTGAAAAAATATAGATGTAGTTTTCTTATTTCACGATTTCGATTCTTCTAAATTCAAAAAAAAAAAAAAAAATCGAACGTCTTTGCATTCGAATGTTGTTGTTTTTGCGGGTTTCCCCTCTTG